ATTTCGAGGACGAAATCTAATTTAAGTGGGGGAGAATTGTAACATCTCGTTCAATTAAATAAATAAGTAGATAAAGATTTATTTAATGAATAATAAACCTAAAATAAATAATATTAGCGGGGTGTTGGTATTGGGGAGCCAATTGTCATAATTTTAGAATTTGGGGGTTAAAAGCGTAAGTCCCAAATTGGTCTTGTGAATATTTATGAAGGCGGGGGCTGCAATTGTAAATAATTTATAGAAAAGGGGTTGGTTGGTAAAGTTTAGATCTAATTTGTAAAGAATTATGGAATCAGGGGTTAAAAGGGAATTATAGGATTCCATTTGTAAAAGAGATGTTGGGGAGGGGCCAGAAGTGAACAAAACACCATAATTTGAAGGGATGCGGGATTAAACCCGTTCATTCCTTCGTTGCATCGTGAACCCTAGCATACAGCCGCCGCATATGAGTTCCCATCTGCCACCTATCCCACCTCCTCACCATTCCGATCAAGGCGAGGGTGCCGCCTGTTGCCGTGTTGAGCGCCGCCCCAAATGCTGCTGCCGGTGACGAGGTGCGAAGCCAGAAAGATCCACCGGAATCCTTCGACGGAGCTGTGATCGATGCTGGGAGTCTTGGACGACCGAAAACTCTTGGTAAGTTGGCTGCAATCAGATTCTTCCTCCTCTTTCATCTGTCCGGTGTGTGTGTGTGACGTAGGTACGCCCCAGCTACCGTTGTCGGCCTCAACCGCCGGTACCGACACCTTTGGGTGCTGCCAGCCTTCAATTGGTGGCTGATGGTTGTGGTTATTGTTGTATTTTGGCTCATGTGATGTTGTTGGACTCGTGATTATTGATGGTCGGAGGTTTGGGCGCACCACCATGGCAGCCAACCATGGTGGCTGCCGTTTCAACTATGTCTCGCCGCCACCAGCCACCGTGGGTGGTGGCTGTGGGTGTGTTATGGGTTTGATGATTGAGCGTAATTGCTGAATTCAGAAATTAAGTGGTTAAATGAGTGTTTGGATGGCCGGAAAACCCCCACCACCACCACGAGGTGGTGGCTGTCGCCGTGAGCCGCCACCGACCACCACCGCCCGAGGTGGCAGTGTGTGGTTTCCCATCTAGTGGAACCCTAATGGGCCCACACACTTAATCTTGGACTGGGTTGCTTGGTGATTGGGCTAGAAAACCCTAATTTTGGGTTTTGTTGGTTTGGGCCTATTGGGACCCGCATTTGGACCAGTGAACTGAAGATATCACTCATGACGATTCTATTGTATGATGGCTTAGTGGAATAATGGACTTAATGGGTTAAGTCCTTAATGGGTTAAGTGAGAAACACTTAACCCTAATTGTCATTTTATGTGAAAACCCTAATTTTTGTTTAGGCCTTGAGTTGGGCCTTTTTATTGGGCTTTGGTGTTTGGGCCATTGATGAGCCGTCTAAGAGCAGTCGTGTAGACTAGAATATTTAGATGGGCTTTAGGGTAAGGCCCATGTGAGGGTTTGGGCCTAATTTGTAAAATTGGGCCATAGTTGGGCCATTAGAGGACTTTTTATGAACCCATTTGGTATTGGGCCTTGGGGGGCCCATTGGGCTTGGATTATTTATGGACCGGATTGGTGGACCATATTTAGACCTAATAATGTGAAGGTTTGTCTTATATCCTAATGGGGTTATTTGTGGGTTTGGCTTAGTGATAGAAGTCGGAGTGTAGCAGCAACATTTATAGGATCTGTTCGCCATCCGAGGTGAGTCTTCTCACTATACTTTACCTAGAGTGGTAATTAAGTGTGACCAGAGGGTCTTATGTGCTTGCTTGAGTTACGCATTACTATGTGATTTGTGATGTGTACTATACAATGTGATATTATGACCGGACTAGTGGGTCCAACGAGCTATGAACGGACGAGTGGGTCCAATGAGCTATGACCGGACCAGTGGGTCCAACGAGCTATGACCGGACCAGTGGGTCCAATGAGCTATGACCGGACCATATGGTCCAACGAGCTATGGGACTGGAGGGTTCCACTGAGACACATTGACCGGAAGGTCTTACAAAGCTATAGCCTCGAGTGGCTAATTACTTGTGCGTGGTATTTTTGAGGAACTCACTAAGCTCCATGCTTACCGTGTTATGTGATATGTGTTTCAGGTTCTCTCAGGATCGAGGGAAGGCGCCGACTTGATTGTACACACCAGAGGAAGAGTTACGCTTTGAGGATCCTGGATTTTATTCAAATAATTATGAACACGTGTTTTGATAATTGATATATTGAGATTTTGTAAAATGTGTTGATGTCATTTATGTGAATATAAAAATGAAAAATTTTGTTTGAAAATTTACGGTGTTACACATTGGATTGTTATCATGGTTTACCGCATGCTGGTATGATGTAGTGATCTGTTAGATCTGTAACCTGGTATATAGGATGATGTTATGCTTAGTGATCTGTAAGATCTGCATGTTTGTCTGTTGGATGGTTATATGTTTAGTTTTGTATATGTTGTCGTAGTGTGGGTGGGTTGAGACTGTACTGCTTTGTGTTGTCAGTCAACAACTCGGTCTTGTTTATATCGATATGTTGTTATGGTTTATTGGGCTTATATGTGTTCTGGATATGTATATGATGACATGTTGTGTGTGGTTGGGTTGAGGCGGTCCTGCTATGTGCTGAAGGCCAACAGACCCAGGGCGTCCCGGATAGACTGAAGGCCAGTGGGGCATATCATTCAAACCGAAGGCCCGGAGAACATTCTAGATAGGCTGAAGGCCCGGAAAGGCGTACCAGTCATGCTGAATGTTCTGTGAGCGTACCAGATAGACTGTAGGCCGGTGGGGCGTTCCAGTCAGACTAAAGGCTTTGTGGGCGTACTAGATAGACTGTAGGCCGGTAGGCCGTTTCAGTCATGTTGAAGGCCCTGTATGCGTGTTGTTTGTTAGTATATGTTATATGTTCATATGGTGGTATTTTGGGGGAATTTCATGCTTACAGTTTTGGTTTATTGTTTCAGGTGCTTCAGATGATTGTAGCGAGGCGAAGGCGTGACCGTACACATCCTTGGTTTTACTACCGATTGGATCATGGGAGACTCTGGTTGTAAATAATGTTTTGGAAACAATGATTTTGTAAACACCTTTATTAGTAAATGGGTTGTTTTTAAAAGTTCAAATTTCTTGAAATTTTTGGGATGTTACAAGTGTGGTGTGAGATTTTTGTTGTATTGGGTGTGTTTTGTATTATTTTTATTTTGCAGGGATTGCGGCTTTCGTTAAACATAGAAGACACGCGGATCCTTCTAGATGGGTTTGAATCGGGTAAGGTCCGATTTTGATCCATGGTTCTTGACCCGAAGTATATATTGTCTTATTCTAGTTGTGAGAGCTCATTCTAAGATCAATGCACACACACACTCTCTCTCTCTCTCTCTCTCTCTCTGTCTCACCTGTTCTCTTTTGTCTTCTCCGTTTTAGGGTTTCAATCCAGATTAGGGTTTCTCTGTTTGTTCTGTAAATCTTGTTCATAGTTTTGTACTTATTTTGTTTTTATATTTTCGTTTGAGTGAGTGATTTCTTGTAGATGAGGTTTCAGTTGTAAGTTGCTGAAAACCAACTGGATCTTGTTGTTCGTAATAAAAGATTTGTTGATGTTGTCATTTGATGTGTTTCTTTACATTTTTATTAGTATCCAACGGTCGAACATTTGGACGTGATTTGCCCCGAGCGGTAAATTGAGGATTGTTTGGATTTGTTTTTGTGAAGAAATAGGTTTGAAAACTAGTGGAACTAAGAGTGTTGTGTGTAATATATGTGTGAGGTATGATTTTAATTTATAATTGATTTATTAAAAAAATGAAAAACTGACCGTTGTCCATGATCAAATGCTCAAACGGTCGAAATCAAACGAGGTAAGATCACCTCTTGCGGTAAAGATCTCGAGTGCAGTATGGGGGGTCGGAGTTGTGTTCGCCGCACACTGCGGTGCCAAATCAGCTACCGCAGTGCACTAGAGCGTGCACTGATCGACCTTGTTCTTAAAGTGTTAGTTTAAGGTCAAGATAAATTATCAAATTCACAAATATTTATTTAATATCATTATTATTCCCTGAAGTATTTGCTTTTTACTTTTTAATAATTTATTTAAATAATTAATTATAAAATTTACACTAAATTGGCATGTAGTCATATATTGTGTTTTGTTTTCGAATAGGTGAAATTGAATTCCTTAAAAAATTTATATAATTGGTTTTACCATTGTTAGGGGTAGGGAATGAATTTAAATTTCTATGGATTTTATTATTCAAAATTCATAATTATCCTTGAAACCCATAAAAGATAAAATTATACAATATTCACAAAAATCACCATTAGTTATAGTGGATTTAATCAAAATGATCAAGTTTTTTGATTTTAGAAAATGTCCACATTTGTTCGGAATGGGTCATTCCAAACATTTCATACTAATTTCATGTCACACTAAAAGTATTTGTCCGACAAAAAAAAATACATTTTTGTTTTTATGACTGACATTTAGCAAATGACCAATATATGACAGTGATCTAGTTTTCAGTGATTTGTAATTCGCAACTCGAATAGTTAAGCAATTATCGGTTGCTTTATGTTAGTGGTACAAACAAAAAAAAAACTTCTCAATCTTCATACTTGGTGAATCGGTAAAGATTATAAATAAAATAAATAAATAAATAAATAAATAAATAATAATAATAATAATAATAATAATAACAACAACATATTTATTAAGATGTGCTAAAAAAAATCGAAAGCACAAAACCAAAGGTGGTCAGGGAGGATGTATAGTATATATGATTTGGTTTCATGGTGACCTGAAGAGATGATTTCAGGCAGCTTATGTGTATCATCATCACCTACAAACTCGGATCTTAACTTCATCAATAATTGCCCTAAATGATTAAGGCCTTCACCATCTTGGCATCCACCACAAAAGAGATGATGAGAAGAAGCTTCAACCCACTGTTGACAAAAGCATCGATTTCAAGTGCGGGTATTCCTTTCACCAATTATCTTAGGAGATAAAGTTGGATGTGAATCATATTCATAGGGAGATAAAGTTGGATCAATTGTTGATGGTGTCAAATCAGGAATGGGTTGCAGATATCCACTAATAAGCACATCGGATTCTATCTGCAATTAATTTATCAAGTTTGTTAGAATGAATTCTACATATCAATGAAAGTACATTTGCTATATAGAACCAACCTGCTCATAAGAAATATCACTTAATTCCAAAGCTTGTGTCATTTCAACCATCCCAAGTTCCCCAACTGGAGAAGGCGCATTCCTTCCACCAATGATCTTAGGAGCAACAAAAGCATGCACCTGCATCATAATTTTACCCAGTTATAGCATTCTACTTTCAAACAAATTAAACTGAAAGATGATATATAGTTTCATACACCTTGTGTATGACACTGGATAAAATAGCTGATGACGATAATGTCCCTCCACATTCCCACAAGACTGAAAGATACCCGCGATCATAAAGATGTTCCACAACTTTTTTAGGGTTAAAAATGTCAAATTCCACCACTTCAACGCCTTTTGAGGCAAGAAACTTCTGGAAACTTCTTCGTGCGCCTCTTTGAGTGACAACTATTGTGGGCACATCTCTAACATCCCAAAGATTTGCAACCTCGGGAAGTTCAAGTGTTTGTGACATAACAATTCGTGTAGGTAAATGAGCACCACCATTTCTTGGAGTTAAACGTGGATCTACATTTTTTCAAAAAACTTTTACTAAATACTTTTGAAATATTTATTGTATGATTAAGTAGGTGACAATAATTAAAGTTTCATACCATCTTTGCGTACTGTATTTCCTCCTACAATAACTGCATCGCTTCTACCACGTAAGTCAAAGACTCGTGATCTTGACTTTTTGCTGCTTATCCATAATGAATGTCCACTACTAGTAGCAATTTTTCCTGTAAAAACATGTGGATAAAATGGAGCAAATGCATAGGTTTTTAAATTTTACAAACAACATATATATATATATATATATATATATATATATATATATCATCATCACTGACACTCACCATCAAGAGTCATTGCGTACTTTAAAACAGAGAATGGGACTTGAAACGCTGATCTATATAGCAAAGGGGCATTCACAACAAGACAAGATTTCAAAGCATCCTACAAGAAATAATGTAGTATAAGATTGATAGATTAACAACAAATTAATAGCATGTGCGAATGCTAAAAGATTATACAATACGTACCTCCATGAAGACACCTTGTATATCTTCCCCAAGAACATCAACCTGCAGTCCTTCACTTTGCAATGCCTGAATAGCATTTCCACGAAGATGTTGCAATGGATGCCTGATCCCAATTACAACTCTGGAAATTCCTGCCTAAGGATTATGATTATTAAGCATGTAGATTTGAACAAATTACTGTAGACTATTGCAGTATATGGTGAAATTAAGCAATTGCAAAAACCTTAATAAAAGCAGATAGAGATGTGTTATCGCCGTCGCAGTGTCCAGGTTCCATATTGACATAAGCAGTGGCGCCTCTGCAATACTCTCCAGCGGCCTCCACCGCCTGGACCTCCGCCGGTTTCGTCCCTTGCGCGTAAAGATATCCTTCTCCGAAAACTTTATTCCCCACGCTGCTGTTTTTTGCTATCACGCAACCAAAGTTAGGGTGCGGCGCCGTGAAACCGGCTGACAGGTCCGATAACTCGGCGGCGCGTTTTACATACGATGCATCAAGCGCGTGGTGTTGTTCGCTATTATTCATAATAGCGCTGGCCTTGAACTTCATTGGGGTAGCAAACCCCATTGCCATCGACATCGCCATCGCCATGGCAGATCAGAGATTACCAGCTTCTGTGGGCTGTGGCAGATAGATTACTCGATCGGCGGCGCGTTTCAAGTTTTATATTCAATAAATACGGCACTTATCATGTCATACTGCATAAACACGGCACTGATCATGCATCCTGCAACAATCGAACCTTACATTACATATTATATACTTATAATAATTCTATTTTAGGAAACTTATGAATTGAATGGAACAGATTATTAAACATCTAACATTAGTTGTTTTCTAGTAAAAACCATTCAACTTTTACAAAAAATATATACTGATGAATTTACCCTCATCCAACATGGTTGCTTTAGAAAACTTACATATGTGCTTAATAGAAGGGATCCTTGAATAAAATCTGTAAAAATAATAATAATAATAATAATAATAAATAAATAAATAAAACTCACTAATCATAAAAAAAAAAAAAAAGTTGAACTAAAATTAGGAAAGTCATAAGAGAATTTTGTTATTCTCTGTAAACTCATGCTTGGTTTTTGTTTATGTAGTTCATAACTATATGATTTAGGTTGATCTTGTGTAATAAACGTCAAACATGGACTTTCTTATCCACCATTTTGCCTCTGATTTCTTTTTTGTGTTTATTATTCACTCCTCTTCAATTTGTTGTTGGATATAGTTTATTTTTGTGTTGATTCCGGAGGCATCCTCACGCATCTTCTCAATCTCTTTTTGCTGGTCCTGCATAGCCTCTGTTTAACTTAGTTGTAGAGAAACAAAAAAAATCAGTTTAAAACGATCTGTAAAGGTGAGCATTTTGTGCCATTTTAGTATATTGGCATATCAAATTTACTAAAATATATATGTACATTCTCTAGTGGGTGGTGGAGAGACATGCGTTTTTACTGTTTTCTAAGTGTTTCCACATCCTAATAGTTTGCATTTTTTATTACATATTTTCAGATTTGTTGGATAATCGATGAAATGTACCAATTTATACTCGACTATAATGTAATTTTTATTAAGAATTCAGAATATTAACACTTGATATTTTGTTGTAAAGATTAAGAAATAGGCATATATATGAGAAAAAAACACTAATATTAATATTAATTAAGTTTTTTAGTATTTATTTAGCATTCTCATGTTCACTTGCGAGACTTTCTTTGTTCCTTGAGAGTGCTACCTATGTAGTGGGGTTTGGGAAGACTATGACAGGTGTAGTACCTGCATTTGCTCTAGTGTTCATATGTCTGACAGTTGATGGTGAATTATAATTTTAGGTAATCGGCCATTAACCATCTTAATGGCTTTATGATTATATATATATATATATATATATATATATATATATATATATATATATATATATATATATATATATATCAAGCTATAGAAAGAAGAGGTTGATACTAAATGGTGAAATCTAGAAATGTCACTGTGATGATTGATGTTGAAGCTCGTTTATTTATGTCCTAAAATTCCTTGAACCCTGATAGAAGGTTTGTGCTAAAATATACCTAAGTAGGAAATGTAATTGTTCATTTTTTCACTTTCAACTGTGCAAGAGGAAAGATTGTAAATATTTAAGATGGATGATCGAGGAACTAACTGGACAAAGCTACAAAGATTTACTTCTTGAAATGCACGAAAGAAACCGGTAGTTTGAAGTTGAAAAGCAGGAGTTTCGTTCTTACTGTTGTTTTAGTCATTGCAGTTCTGATTTTGACGTTGGGCAATGTTATATTTGCAAAAAATATATGTAATGGCTTTGCTATGATCCATTTATTATTAAATAAAGTTTAGTTTGGTGTCTTCATTTCAATAGCTGGATCAACCTTATCATAGAGAAAACTTATATTACGTTGTCCATCTGCAATGCTTCTTCAATAACCAGGGAGCTGCAACAAGACTCTCGATATGATAAAAAAAAATATCGTGAGGAAAGAATATCATCGCGAAAGTTTATCAGGAAGAAAAGATATCATGTTAGAAATGGTTCGATTGGTCCTTTTCTTACATTTAGGATAAAAGTGACTCTCTTGTAAGTTGTAACACATACATGACCACCTTTTATGGTGATTTTAGAGAATAACGTAAATTTATATCATAATATTACACAAACAGAAACTTGATGCAGTCACAAAGGTCCGAAATTTTTTGTTTTAGATAATGTAGCCATTAACATGAGATAAATGATAAATGAAATTCCTTTAATTGAACAGTACAACAAATGCAGTGGTATTTATATTATAAATTATTATTATAACAAGGTGGGATACTTGGCATCAAGGAAGTCCCTAAGAATCTTGGCGGATTTCTGGCCTCCCATTAATTCAGCAAGTCTCTCCATTGGAAGGAGAGCCAGATCCGCCAAGCTGCTGCACCCGTCCATTATTGTCCTGTAGTTGGCATCCGTCACCCCTGGTAGCCGCCTTAAAAACTCAACCGCACATGTATTGTAATTCTCAGCCCTGCACCCCAAAACACTACTATTATTACCCATCTACTGTCTACTGTCTACTGTGTGAAAAATAACTGCATACCTAACATCATCTTCCACAACACCTTCTTCTGAAGGTACACCGACTCTAGTTGCCTTGGCTTCATCGGGTTCATCTTGATTTGTTTTAAGAGAAGCAAAAATTTCTGCAGTTGCATGCAAGCTGCGAGACCACACAATTCGCAAACGAGGAAAATGTAGAACCAGTAAAGATAGCTTTGATATGATATTATGAGGCGTCACATCATCCGTAATCTCACTTGTTGACTGCAACCAACATTTTTATCATTTTATTATTATATAAAAAACATGTATGATTTTCATAATTGAATTTACCTGAAATGAGAAGCTTTTGTCTTGTGAAAATTCGATTAAAAGAACGGGGATTTGGTAATAACGGACCATCATTTCAACTTGGTGGTAAAGGCGACCCGATGCAAAACTACCGAAAAGATCTTGAATGCTTTTTCTCTCGACACAAATCATTGGTGATAAAATGTAATCTCCAACTTCTAGAGTCACTGGTATTATATGCATGCCTTTCTGATGAAGTACGTTTGGAAGGCTGCTCATGAACTCCCTCATATCCACTATCACCTGTCATGGACAATGACAATGTAAGGCCATAATCAACATTTCACTTTTCCAAAGTTAAAAATGGTGTAACAAGATTGCATACTTGCATCTCTTTCACAGCTTCCTTCTGTCCACCTGCCTTCCTAGTTACCATATTTTGTTTTGATGGAGATTCTGTCTCCATGGTGCTATTCTGACCAATTCCATGAGCCACCTGATCATACATTTCACAAGTCACCAAACTTTTTTTATTGCCTAAATGCAAGAAATAGCAACGTGCTTATGACCACAAAATTTATGAAAGATTGAACCTGATCAACTGGCAACATCATCATGGATTTCTGCCTAATCAGGGATTCAAATGCTCCATTTTCACGGCGTATACTGGCCTCAAACTTCTGCACTTCTGTAGAATCTTCATAAAATAAAAAATAAACTTTCACCTTCTTTAACGGATTTTCCGCTTTATATATTTCAATTTCTCGCACAAAAGCAATGTCAGGGTGGTAAACAACAATAGCAGAAGGCTTCAAAATGTCAAGAACTTGCTGACCACTTTCATATGCATAAAAGTGAACAGAAGGAATCTTTTTTACATTGTCTGGTTTCTCAACATCAGCCCCTTCAACATGCTTCTTCAAAACTGGGATTGAGGGCTCAGATTCTTTAACTGATGATGTCTCAAGTTTACTTTTATCATCTTTCTTTATGGGAACATTTTTTGAGGGCTGCTTTTTCTTGCCTCTTGAGTTCCCTTTGCCTCGCCCTTTATGGACCACATTATTTTGAGGATCATCTACTACTTCAATAACTTTTTGGACTCTTTTACTTATTTCAGTTGCTGCTGCTAAAAGGGCATCTTGTTCTTGTGTTGCTATGCTGCTGCTTTCTACTCCCTTTGTGGGTGTCAAAGGAACTGCTCCATCAAGTACTCCAAAACCTTTAGGGTTTTGGGGTTTCTTCTTATTGCGCTTTGGTAAGGCTTGCAATTGTACTTTACTAACCAAATACTTCTCCCACTCTCCACGCATGACCTTTATAAGAAACAAGTGAGAAAAGTTGTTTTCTTGATCCGGTAAGCTATGTTTGAGTGTTTCCTTTTTATTTAATACAGAAAGAACGACTTAGCAGAGAAAATTGGTGAAAAGAGGAAAACCTTATTAGGATTGCTGGTGATACACTCCTCAAGTTGCACACATGAGTGTTCATCTTTACATGCAACCAAAACCATGCCATTATTATCTTGATTAATTTCAACAACACATTCATCATTTGATGTGGCTTGCTTTTCCCTTTCGGCTTCTATTTCTTCAAGAATCTCCTGCAGTAGGTAAAGCAAAAAAGGTGAACATGAGATTAAGCAATTACAACTATCACAATGGGAGGAAAAAAAAAGTACAGGTTCTAGGGGAAATCGTTCTTAGTAATAACTAATAACTAATAAATAAATCCAGATGTAGAGACCTCAAAACTTGAATTATATATTTATTCCACAAGTTTATATTGATGTCTGCAACATATTATTCACAACAAAAAGTTGAACTCACTCACTCACACGCAACACCTTCCACTTTGGTGCCTCCTCCAAGACTTCCTCTAAAACTACACTACTATTGCCATTCATCACTGGAGAATCTACAAATTCACACAAAGAAATTGGTCATATAGACTAGAAAGTAGTAAGTGACATGACTGTTTAAAAAGAATTAACAGCATTGTGGCCAATTCTGGAGTGGTAAGGCTTCAAATTAGAAAACTAATATCACAAATCAACATTTCAAGTCACAGGAAACATCAGAAAGTGATTGGCAAGTTCACATGCAAGATTCTCACCTTCTTTATCATTGCTGCTATCATCCAACTTCCTCTTTTTGGACTTCACATTCATGGTTGAGGTGGTCAAATCTTCACCCTTTGACCTACTAAAGTGATAAACCCGTCTTTTCGCATATTCAAAGATCTTATAACTGGATTCTGCAAAGATCCATACAGAACGAAAACTCTCTGATGCTCTCAATGAATCTAAATACTTTAAATAAGTCACTGCATCATACCTGAATCAAAATAGAAACATCAGAAAGTCAGATTTTAACAACATAACCTATCATTGTAAATGAAAAATATGTATATGTTTTGAGTAATACCTAACAAGATAATCAAGCAACTTCCGCAAGGTTTTCAAATCTGAGACAAGCTGCTTAGTCTTCTTCCCCAATGTATGCCAGATTGGATCTAGTTGCCGCCTTACAATCTCATCAAATGACTTGAACAAGCCGTTCTCCACAGTCAAATCCTCCACGTCAACCTTGTTAGTCTTCCTCATCTCCTTCAAACAAGCGTCCATGACCTCAATCACAGCTTTCTGAATACCCACCATGTAAGCAGACATGGGGACCCTGATGTCCACTACTTCTGGTGGATCCCTCTCTAGTTCTTCTGATACATATACCTGAGAGAGTGCATCAGAAATTACAATTGAACTAATGACAATCGGGGTAAATGTTTTTTTTTTGTATATTGAAAGCTTAAACTAAAACTCCAAAAGTATGCTTTTGTAGTTTGAGATATGGAAAAAAAAAATGGTTTTGACAACAAAAATGAGCGACTATCTAGTTGAAACAGACAATGGCTAATCGGAAATTCCAAACATCACAAACTCAATTACTTCCATACCTGAAACCTGGGCCACAGATGGAGTTTCCTGAGAAACAAGCATTTGAGTGTTCTCTCGGCCTTGGCGAATCCAGAAACCATAGCATGGGGCTTATCTGAAAACGCACGAACATAAAGATTCTTATTCGACGACCTAAGAATTCGGACAATGAAAGCCTCAGTACAAGTTTCTGATAAAGAATGTGCATTGAGAAGGATGATCCCGGCCACGGCAGATGTAGGAAGGCGGCGAGTGAGGAGGTCAACGATGAGGATACGAGAAGTGATGAAGAAGGCGTTCCCGGAGGAGTAGAGAGAAAGGCGATGATGTGAGGGGAGGTCAGAAGTGATCTCGGACGGAGAATTGGTGATTTCGTTGTTAGGGTTAGGGTTTAGGGAGGTGAGGATTGAATGCTTCTGGGAAGGGGATGCAGAGAGGATGAGAAGAGTGCCTTCGGAAGTGTCGTGCAGGTGGAGGAAACCGGCAATAAGTTTGTGGAGAGCAAGCCCGGAAGAGATAACGACTAGGCCGCCGCCGGCGGTGGGTTCTTCAAGGAGATCGGCGATTATGTGTTCGTGAAACTGAACCATTTTCTTCTTTCGTTTGCCGGTGAAAGTTGAAACGCAGGTTAATTTATACGGAGGAAAAAGTGATACATAGATTTCGTAAACTGCAAATTTGGTACCTGTGGTTTACTATTTTTCGTGTCTGGATGGATTCCTTTGCAACATCTAAAATCGTGAATATGTTAAAAAAAATTACAAGGAGGTCTAAAACAAATAATGTTACTCGAATTGAAGATTTATTTATAAAGAATAAATATCACAATTCGGTCCACTTTTTGTGTGGTTACTATTATAAATAAAAATAAAAATAAAAATAAAAAAATAAAAAAACAAAAACATGAACATTATATATATATTAAAGAGCATGTGGAGTAACATTTCAATATTTATAATTTTAACACTATACTTTTACTTTTTCTTAATTTTGCCACTAAAGTTACAATAAACTTTTCTTTTTTATAATTTTGCCATTTTATTTTTACTTCTTCATATTTTTGTCACTAAACTTTCACTTTTACTTCTTTAAAACCATTTTTCTTTATTCTTTTATAATTTTACCACTTTATTTTTACTTTTTTATAATTTTGGCACTAAAGTTTCAACAAACTTTTCCTCTTTATAGTTTTGGTACTTTATTTTTACTAATTTTGCCACTAAACTTTCAACAAACTTTTCATCTTTATAATTTTGGCACTTTATTTTTACTTCTTTATATTTTTGTCACTAAACTTTCACTCGTGCAACGCACGGGTCTTTTCCTAGTTTTAATGAATACCTTTTATTTCTTCCTTTAATAAGATTATGTTATTAACATTTTACATAAAGATTATTTGCTTGATTCTTTACAAGTCGCATTGTGAGTTTGTGACTATATCAAAACTATAATGTAGAATAATATTGTGTTTATATAACTAGTCAAATGAGTAATGATATGTTAAATTAGAATCCCAAAATTGGAACAATAACATCCTGAGAGTTTTTAATATAAAAAATACATTTAAATACCGATATCTAGAGTTCTACACCTTCAAATACAAAAATACAACCGTATAGAACTAAACGCGCCTAACAAACACAAAATCGGATATACTGGATTAAATTGGGTGTTACAAAATCCCTACTAACATTTATAGGATGTGATATAGCCAAGAACATAGAAAACCCTCGACTGGAAACTAGAGACATTGTCAACTGTTATCGTTGCTACTGCTGCTAAAGATGTTAGTAGTGAAAGCAATTGCGATACTATTATGAAGAACAATGTCACGACAGCAATAATAGATACAAAAAAGAGATTGACTTCATTCTCGTTGAATCTGAAAGGAAGGAAAAAATTTATGAGATGTGCTAGAATGTATATCAAGCAGATACAAAAACCCATCTTTTTTGCTTCCCAAGTTGAATCGGCAGTAGAAAAAAAAAAGCTTCACTCACAGTGGTCTAGAAAGAGGATTTAACTTCTTTATAAATTATACATATGTAATGTGAAGAGCAGAGTGGTTTATAACTTTATATAGCTAAGGAATGAACCACGAGTCTTCCATGGGAAGTTTTAAATAAGCTGGTTTCAACACGAGTGCTTTAGGTATCTTGTTGGTAATAAAAGTAACCCTTTAAATATCTTGTTGGTAACAAAAGTAACCCTTTAAGTATCTTGTTAGTAGCAAAGGTAGCCCTTATGCTTTAACGTGGGCTACTTTCCGTTAGTAGCAAAGTCAATCCTAACTTTTTCTAGCTGCCGACAAAGTATAGTTGTCATTTGTGTCGAAAGGAAACTATTGATATACCTTTGAAAATTAAAATGTTTATCGAACTCTCGCTAATTATCATCTTTTTGTACGATTATAAAGTTAACATGTGTGTCGATCTCTTTGTTGAACAAATAGATAAAACCTCAACTCTTGCAAACTAATGAAGCAAATATATAATAAAGAAAGGAATAAAATATAAGTCAAAATTATAGAAATTGTTAGGCCTTGATCGAAACCTTGCTAAACTTTCGAACCGAAAAGGACACGGGTTTTTCTAAGACGGATACGTTAATGTTGTTCCAAACATCTGGGATTGTGGGAAGTGTCACAATTTTCTCTGCAATTTCCATATCTTCCGGAAGAACTTGTCCAAAAACCGTATATGACTTTTTCCATTCTTCATGATTCGCTAAACTTATAAAAAATTCGGGACCCGAACCGATCCATGCAACCGAGCCCCTTTGGATAATGGGACATTCTTCGGTTGGTATTTTGTTGAAAATAACTCCTTCGGCTTCTAGTGATCCTTGAATCAATGCAAATGGAGGTCCGAATGAAGCCTGAGAAGGAGATTGATTAGATTTATCAGTTTATTTTAGCATCCTGCTTTCATTTCTTCTTATTACAGTATTGAAAAATCTACCCAATTATAGCAATATCATCCTATAACCCGGGAGATTATGGGATTGAATTAGTATGAAAAGAGAAAAAAGTACAGTGTTATAAGTGGGTAGAGTTTTCAAAATACAATGTCTTAATAAGAAAAATATTGAAATCAAAAAGTGTAGAGAAATGTTACTGATTTCAAGTGATGTCCTTTTGAATTCCAAGATTGGCCACGACCTTCAGCTCGATAAAATTGGCAACCGACACAATGACGCATTGTCAGCAACTCAAGAATGTACATAACTGAACGCGGAGCACATTCGGGGAGAAGCTGCATCAAACCATGTATTTTCTTTTAGAATCACGCAAAAGAAAAAAAAAAATTAATGTATTTTGACTTTTGAGGTCAAACATACCGAGTTTGACCTCAAAAGTCAATGTTGCTAATAAGTAGCATCATGAGATGCAAAATTGGAAAGGTTTTTTTACAGTTTCCACTTACTTTTATGCGAAGAGCACCATATTTTGTTTCCATTTTCACGATGCCCTGCAATGAAGAAAATAAAGAAGAGTAAAGTCAGCACATTTCATTAATCATAGGAAGCCGATTCTAAAAAGATTCACAAGTAATAAAACTTTGGTTGTGTAATTCCAAATCAAAATTTGAATATATATATATATATATATATATATATATATATATATATATATATATATATATATATATATATATATGGCATCCAGTAAAGCAATGCAGTTTTCAACTTTAGTAGTGATATGAATTCTTCAGCTTTTTGCAAAAAAAACTGATAACCTAATCAAACTTAATAATAAATGCAATATGAGGATATATTTTGGTAGCAAAAAATCTTATAAACAATTTCGGATCTGAAAACTCATAGATTAGACCTCAAAAGTCAAAAATCCAGCATTCTCATTTTGTATCAAAAGGATCATGGAAATCAATGCTTAGGCAATTGACAGATCTACCCTTTTGGGAACACATTCTATACATTAGCCAGTGTTATCCTATACTAAGAGATTAGATTAGCATTACCTCGCCTTTTCCAAAAATTAGGCCAGAAGTCCAGATGGTGTTTTCTCCTGCTTCTTGCCTATCAGGAGCCATAGGATCCTTCTGTTTCTTCAACCAACACTGTATGTACAAACAAAGTGTATTAATTAGTTTCAAAGATCACACAAGTGACAAAACAGATTTTTTTTCAAATGTTATTTGCCAAATCCCAACAGGATTATATTAGATAAGGCCTTCTAACATTTCAAAGTAAGCAAGATTCATATGTTGGATCACAATTTTCGGATCGATTGAAATATAATACTTATCAAACTAAGCAATGTCCATCCTCACAACACTATTGTTTGATTTAAAGAAGCCTAAAGATCAAATCTTGAACTTTAACACAAAGTATGAATCAACACAAACATTAATTTGAAAACAATGACCAAATTCAGCCTTTTCCTAAATGGGGTAAAGAAATTCTAACTTGCTAGTTTTTTAAGACACTAACAGAATCACAGTTTAATTGAATAATAATCTCAATTCTCAAAAGTCAATGATCGAAAAGTCAAAATTGCAACTTACCTCGCCGAATTTTGACCCGCAAGCATCAGGATTGCCGCAGAACACCCAAGAATCACACATACAAGGCCCATCATTGACATTACACATCGCCTTGCAAGCATTACAGCACTCAATTGACGAATTGAACTTGTGATCCGAACCCCACTTCACAGCAGCACCCCACAACTCAAAGTTAGCAATTCCTCTGCAACAGCCACCATCGTTTTCTTCCACTTCCATAGATTCAACTTCTGGAATTGATGAAAATTTGGCGTCCTCATTGGGTCTTAAAATCGAAGACATGAACATATACACAAGAGAGCAAGAGAAAAGACCCATCACGAGGAGGATCAGTGAGACCCAACGCGTTGGTTCAGAATCGATCTGCCTCCGACCCATTAGGGTTTGATCAGTGAGAAACAAAACCCAGCAAAGATTTCAATTGATTTTGGGTTTATATTGTGGGTTTGGTGTCAATTTGGCGGAGGACGAGAAAACTTTGACCAAAAAGGGGAAAACGACTCTGTTTCATAAAATTCTTGTACATTGGAGAGTATATGCAGAGACATGGAGGATTCTGATGCCAAATTAATTAATTTAGTCAGAAATTGAGGCACGATTTTGTCTGATCCTAATAAATTAAGGTGTAAATTAATGGGAAAAGGGAATCGCAAGAACCTAACACGATTATTGCCTTATTGGTCAATGAAGCTTTTTGAGTTGCTAGTGACATGTTTGCTACAAGAAAACAATTTGATCATCAATGATCTATTTATAGCTATTTGACAGATTGCCCATGTGCTTACATCGTCTATATATGGAGGTGTTGAAAATCATCCCATCCTTTGAAAAAGGTTGTTTTGCACGGGTTCTTTCATTTGTTAGTTTTGGATGATCAGATTATAAGTTGTTTGAATGGACGTTTGTATATTGATACCTAATTCAGGAAAACTATTTATTAGTTTAGTAATCATGTAAGTTAACATCAAGATTAACACATGCAAGTTGTAACGTAATGTTTTATCACAAATGAGTCCAACCTTAACATTAAAAAACAAACATAAATGGTAATTTTAAGCACCAATAGTGTTTCTACTCCGATCGTATACTAAAACATCAAATGCTAAGGCACGTCTCATTTGTCTTGTCAAATTGGCATTTTCAACTACCACTTGGAAGATGTCATTTTCTTTTTCAATCTCATTTTGAAGTTCTTTTTTAACAGAAAGATAGTTTTATTGACTTGGTTTGAGACGTTGATGTACTTAACAAACACATGATCAAATCTCTCATTAACCCATGTTCCACCGGCAAGTACTATAAAAAAATATTCACCTAAGTTGCATTTCAAAATAATACGTTAAGAAACTTACTAAATATTTAATGGGGTTAGACATAGCAAGCATTTAAATAAAATTGTCGCTGATATATAAATAATAAATTTAATATGTAATACTAAAAACTCAATTTCAAAACACTCTTAAACTCATCTTTATAAATCACACGGTTGGAGAGTTTACTTTTTGTTAAAAAAATACGCTTCAAATCCCTCTTGAGTATATTTTTAATACATGTCATCAGGCCCGGCCCTGTACATGGGCGAGTTGGGCCAGGGCCCAGGGCATCAATAAAATAGGGGCATAATTTTTTATCCCATATGTATTATTATAGTATATGGATGTCGGCCCAATCCATTTTGTGCAAGAAGAAATCAGCGTTTCTGGAGGATGGTGAAAGCGTCCGCCAATTCTCCAAATAATTGAAGATCTTGAGAATAGCAATCGACAAATCGGTATTCGGTAATATGCTTAAAAACTGAAAATCGTACGCATGGTATATGGAGATCGAGGAGTCGAGTTCTAAATCAGCAAATCGGTATTAAATTTCTCATTCTAAATCGGTATTCAATCGATCATCTAAACCTGTGAACAAGTTCAGTTCTTTTTTGAAGTTTCAGTTTCCTTTCTAAATCAAATAGATATCTGATTTTTATTTTTTTCAATTTCTCTAAACCTGCTGTGCATTCAATCGATTAACTAAATGTGTTGTATTCCTGTTAGAGTTCAATTTTTTTTCAACTAATCAAGTTTCAAGTTTGCGAGTTCTGACTTCCGAGTTTTGAGTTCCTATTAGACATTACAACGTGCAGCAACCGGCAACAGGCAACGAAAGAATCAAAGAAAAGACCTGTAACTGTTGGATTTTCTGATTTCTGAATGATTGAATCTCTCCATTCTTCAACTGATTTGGGTGAGTTCTTCTTCATTTTTTGTCATTATTATTTTTCTTATTCTTTCTGAATTTCTGATTTCTTTTCATTGATTTGGGTGGATTTATTATCTTTACGGCTTTACCTGTTGGATTCGAATACAGTTAAATAGATTTAAAGTCTCAGAGAATTCTCATCTGTTTGAGCTTCAATCTCTAAGTCAAAATCTGATGTTTCTTTGTATCTAATTTTTGAGGTTTGTTTCAGCCTTCAGTTAAAATTTATGACTATCTGTGATGACCGATAAGCTTTTGATTTCTTCTCTGTTTGAATCATAATCTGCTGTCTCTCCTCGTTTTTTTAATTTGTCTTCTGAACTTTTGTGTTCTTTGTATTTGATGTGAATCAGGATTCAGGAGGCATCAAAGACATTTAATTATCTATTGAACTTCACTGTTCGGATTTCTATTGTTTTACTACCTGGACTTTTAGAGGTAGTAGAAGGAATGCATTTATTCCATTGCAGTTATAATACAGTAGTTTTAAAAAATAGTTTGTTATTTTATTTCTTATTATGTGATTAATTTTTCAGATATATTGATTATTTGGATTTATTTCTTATACAATAGTTTTAAAAAGTAGATTCTTATGGCTCTTGTTCAAGAAAAGTAGATTTGAAAAGATGTAATATTTTGAATTTATATTTGGTGTTTTGTTTGATGTTCCAAATTAGTTTGTTTAGATGAAGATTTATTTTGAAATGTAAATTTCAACAAATGCAATATTTTGAATCTATATTTGGTTTTTTGTTTGATTGTTCTAAATTAATTTCTTTAGTCAGTGTATTAAAAAAATATTGTTTAAATCTTGACTCCAATTTGATAAATGGACATCTAATCATATAAATTAATATGCAATAAGAATCGAAATTATTGACGGTATTGGTGTTGGTTTGGTGTTGGTTATGATTGCTTCCAATGAAAGAAATTTTCCAAATTAAAGCTCTGAAAATCGTGCTTCTGATGAAAGAAAATTTCCAAAATTAAAGCTCTCAAAATCGTTCTTCAAAGTACCATGACTCAAGAAAGATCGAATGGATTAACAATTTGAAGTATTTTTACAAAATATTGATTATTGTAACATAAGAAATGTTTTCGTGTCAAAAAAGGCATTTTTTTTGTTAGGTTTTGTTCGTATTTGTTTGATTATAAAATTTATTGCATTTTGATTTTATAAATCTTTTATATGTACATTTTCTCTATCGTACAGTACATGTATAAGGGCATAAAATTTTTATTTCGCCCCGGGTGGTAAAAAACAATGGACCGGCCCTGCATGTCATTTTAAACCTTTAAAAAAATATGCACTTTAAGACTTCCTAAGAAATCATCATCTTTAAAATATCTATGTAAAACACACTAGAACTTTTAACAAGGAATCGTCTCTTACTCGTATATTAAAAAATAAACATCCTACGAAATATCTTTTCAAATAAATCATTCTTATAACCCAAAACATTTTAAACACTTCTTAAATGACACCTACCTGAAAAAACCTTATAAAGAGAAATATCTTACCTAATCACCCTCTTAAAACATCTTAAACAACTATTGTCTTAAATCATACACATTTTCCAGAAGCAGCCACGTTGCACCTTCTAGAAGCAGTCACGTTGCACCACAGCATGCAGGAAACGTGTCACACACTGGGAGGGCGCAACGTGCCTCTGGTCTGGGCGTGACACGCTTCATGAAAAAATCACCCTATAAATACCCCACCTCGCCTCATTTGATCTCCCACACCTATCATTGATTTATCTCTCGATTTCTTTTAATTCAAGCCTAATATTTCCTTAATTTTTAAGATTGTAGCGAAGCTCTAAGGTCCATGAGAGCCCAACATCTAGTAGCTAGCAGGTCCGAGTTCTTTCAGTACAATTTTCGGACTTTTGTCAGCAAAATCCATGTAAGTTAAGATACATTCAATATTATTATTGTGAAACTTATATTTATGTTCATAGTCGTTATTATGAACCTATAAATGAGATTTATCGGTGATTCCAAATCAAAATACTAATTGATCTACTTACGAGGATGATGTCTAGGCTGGATTTAGTGAAGTGTTTAAAGTGAGATTTCCAAATAGTAAACTTTGTATATCAAACGGACCCTACCTCCGATATGATCCTACCTGGTTGTTCATTACTTGATAGATCTTGATGTATACAATAGGATTAGTGAGGAATCTAGACTGCCATTATTCGGCAGGAATATAAGACTAAGACTTAGTAATATGAACCTAGGTCACGTCAGAGGAAAAGATAAAGTACCAAGGTGAAGTTCTGCCCAAATTCTGAGGCATCCACTTTTATCAAGTGAGTGCAAAGTTACTTTCATCTTACACATAAATATGAAGTATTTAGATAATTAAATGTATATGTGTTTATGTGTAAAGATGTTATGTGTTAGATGAAATGCTATAAAGATAAATTTATATGATTTATACCATATATGTATTTTTTATGAATAAAATATATTGGGTAATGAAGGGTAATGTAAGGTAAAAATGATAAGATGTTATAGTACGATTGAAAGATGAAAATGATGATAGGATGTCACGGCCTTAATAGTACTATTATACTAACGATGTAGGAACTAGTACTATTGTACTAACGATGTAGGAACTAATATTATTGTAATAACGATGTAAGAACTAATATTATTGTACTAACGAGGTAGGAACTAGTACTATTGTACTAACGATGTACAAACTAGTACTATCGTACTAATGATGTAGTCATCTAAAAGAATATAGATGTAACGACCCGAAAATTATGAGGTAAAAAAATTTCAATTTTTTTATACAATCAAAACACCAATTATCTTTTGTTCAAACATTTTAAGTATTTCATAATAAAACAGTCATCAGAGTACAATCCCAAAATCATCACACTGCGGAAACATGGGTGGATGCCCTGTGATAAAACCGGGATTTTTCCTTTCAAACTGGAAGTACCTGAAACATAAATTGAAAATCGTAATCACGAAATTTAGTGAGTTTCCCCCAAAATACTACATAATAAACAAACATACTGTCAAGCATATCTGGGTACCAGCCTACCCCTTCGGTCTATTTCAACCGGATATTGCTAAGCATATATGGGTGCTTGCCTACCCATTCGGTCTATCTCAATCGGATACTATCAAGCATATATGGGTGCTTGCAATCCCTTTCGGTCTATTTCAACCGGATATCAGATCTATTTCACCCCTACTACTACCACATAATATCATAACAGAAATCACAGAGTCAC